GCTTCTATTGGGTTATAATGGAAAATATAAAGTTTATTTATTTATTTTGAGAGAGAGAGAGAGAGAGAGAGAGAGACACCCAAGCAGGCTGCAGGCTCTGTGCTGCTTGCACAGAGTCCAACACGGGCTCTATCTCACCAATCATGAGATCATGACCTGAACCAAAATCCAGAGTCAGATGCCTAACCAGTCGAGCCACCCAGGTGGCCTGGAAAATGTATTTATTATTATGGATCATGGTCAAGTCTGGGGAAGCTCCTGCACTAAAACTCTTTTAGGGCCAACTCTTTTTAGCTCCAAATCTTTAAAACAAAGTTTAGTACTTCCCCCATGATACACATGAAATTGATATGTTGCATGTGGCAAGCATGAGCATCTTTTATTTGTTGATTCCTCAATCCAAAGATGGTGGGATGTATTATCATCCCCACGCCCCACGATGGGGAAAAGTGGGTGAGAAGAAGTGACATGCCAATATGCCTAATTAGCAGGTGGCTAGTGGGACTCCCTTAGGAGTCTCTGACTCATCACTCATCTCATTCATCTCAGCAGTGGAATGAGAAAAGAGGAAAAGATTCTAGAAGGACACTGCAGAGGATGGAGGATACATTCATCATCTGTTGGGACCAAGTTTGTCTCCAGACCTTGTTTCCTTCTCTTTTCCAAATCCACAGTCCTGACACCCTCACCCTCTGCAAAGTGGGGGCCCTGAGGAGACAAGGTCAGCCCCAGGGCCTCCTGGGCAAAGAACTAGACTTTTGCAGGGCCGGAAAAGACTTGCAAGGTCATTTCATCTACATTCCTGTGCCCAGGCAACAGTGCAGTCAATTCAGTGGAATAGATGGGAATCTTCCATTCGAGAAGGAAGAGATCTCACATAAACCAAGCATGTTTAGAGTTCATGGTTTTAGTCCTATGAGAGAGAACTGAGAGCCAGGATCTGGTCCCAACTTTGCCACTGTGTGTCCTTCGGTGTGTCACACTCTCTCTGCACCCGTTTCCTCTCGAGGGGTGTCATCACCAAGTTCTTCACACTTGCGTTCTTGCTGGTCTCTTCTCCCAAGGTCACCGCACTGGGACAGAGACAAAGAACGCCCTCTCCCTTCCCTACATCCTGGAGGAAGACAGCAGCACACAAAAGAGTGACTGCTAGCTGAGCTATACCCCCGGGGAAGAGGAAAACCAGGAAAGGCTCTGCTGTGTGTTTATGACATTCGAGAACAGCTGCTTCCTCTGCTGAATCCACAGCAATGGCGGCCTGGCCCTGCCCTGACCCATCCCAGGGCCCCATCATTTGCCATCTGCTAGTGGGTCAGCGAGGAGGTGACCAGATAGGCAAGTTGTCACCAGACAGGAAATGAACTGATGTTTGTCACTTCGTCGGAGTCCCTGGGTTACTCCAGGGGGTGGGTCTGCTGAGCCCAGCTGCAGGGCTCATATCTTGATAGGGCTGACTGTGTGTGTGTGTGTGTGGGCGTGTGTGTGTGTGTGTGTGTGTGTGTGTGTGTGTGTGTGTAGGCAGGAGGAACACTGCGAAGGTCAGTATGTGCCTGTGTTTGCATTGGCTTGCCTGTCTGTTTCTCTGGTTCTGAGCGGTGAGGACGGACGTCTATGTGTCTGGGTACTGCTGGGTCTGTCCATTTGCCTCTTGGTGTCTCTATCTCAGCCACACGTGTGAAGACTACGTCAGTGCCCGGGCCTATCTGACCCCACGTGCCCCTATCTTCATGTTTGGTCCATGATGCCACCTAGGTTTTTCTGTTTGTGGTGAGTGCCATCATCTTCCCTCTCTGGAAAGGTTAAACCAGTGACCAGTGGGGAAGGAAATCGAATCTGCTCCTGCTTGGCATGTGGTTTCTGTCTAGACACATCTGCTTGCTGTGACAAGATTTACTCTCAACAGACCTGGGTAAAAGCACTAAGCTGTCAGGGCCTGTTGCCCAAGGCTCTGCCGTGACTCAGCCAACATCCTAGGGTGATGCACAGCACCCACTGGGACTTAAAGACAAGTCCCAGTCCCCCCAAACTGGCCATCTTCGTGGGCAATGCAGGAAGACGGTTCCATCTGAGAAGGCAGGTAGTTTAGTTACTACAAAGTCGGCTGTGTCTCTGAACCTCTGTGGGAGAAGGTTCCAGAGCTACCAGGACTCCAAGGTCCATTCACAGGATGAGGAAACGAGGCTCAGAGGGGAAGTATCTCGCCTGAGGTCACAAGTTCACTCCTCACATGCACTCTTTCAATGCTAACCAAGCACCCAGCATGCCAGGCACTGCCCTAAGGCCTGAGAATGACGAAGAACCGGAAGGTGAAGCCATAGCATTCTGCTACCAAGGCACTGGCGGCCTGGTTCGGGAGACAGACATTTGAGCAGGCAGCTTCTACCAAACCAGGAGGAAGGCCACAGCAGAAAACCATGAAAAGTGCCATGGGAACAAGAGGAGAAAGTCAGACAACCCTGTCTTCGAGGAAGACGGAGGGAAAAGCGTGGTAGACTAAACAATGCCCCCCAAAGACGTCCGTGTCCTAATCCCTGCAACCTGCAAACATGTTCCCTTCTGTGGCCAAGCCAACTTTGCAGATGGGAGGAAGCTGAAGGCCTCGAGATGGGGAGATTCCCCTGGTTACCAGGCAGACTCAGTGGAATCGTCAGAGCCCTCAGAAGACAGAGGCAGGAGAATCAGAATCACAGAGGGAGACACAGTGACAGAAGCAGAAGCTAGAGAGAAGGAAAGAAAGACCTGAAGAGGGAGGAAGGAAGGGGTCAGGGGCTAAAGAACGCAGGCAACTTCCAGAAGGAACGCAGCCCACCAACACCTTGATCTTAACCCAGCGAGACATATTTTGTAATTCCAAACTCAAGAACGACCAGAGAATAAATTTGTGTGGTGTGTGCTGTTCCGTCTCGGGTTAACTCTGGCTGGCCTTCAGCCCCAGTGACCATCCTTCCTTGCCAAGTGCAGAGGGCACGGCTTTCGAGTCAGGGAGCACCCAGGAGCAGCCGTCGACCGTGGGTAAAGGATCCGGAATGGTGTCGGCACAGAGTAGGGGCTTTATAAATGCTCGTATCCAACTTCCTCTCCTGAGCTAGTCAGCCAGAGCTAAACAGGACAAAAGTCAGACACCTCGTTTCCCTTCTTGAAAATAAACCCTGGCTCTTCCAGAGACCATCTCATTGCCCATGGAGAGTGCTCTAGGGTATGAAAGAGGCAGGCTATGATGGATCTCCGTACTTTTTAAAACTGGGGGTGCAGGAGACCCTAACTAGGATGGCACACAGAAGGGAACACAGTAGGCCACAGTCAGCAAAGGGTTACCCCCTCCTGCGAACACCCATCTCCTGCTGTCACTTCACATTAAAGGGCCAGGCATCAGAGACTGAGCTGGCCAGTAACCGCTGCTCTCATTAACGGTTTGCTCCCCCAATTTCTCTCCCTTCTGCCCTTCACTCAAAAAAAAGAAGAAGAAAGAAAGTAATGAAGAAAGCCATCAAAACGGGCAGGTTCTTAGGCCAGGATTCCCATGCTGAAGCTGACAAGCAGCTCAGACCCAACTTTCTCTGTGGTGCCCACTCTGATCGCCCCGACTCCCTGCCCCCTTCCTTCCCCCTGCGCCCTGCCCCAGCCTGCAGCCCAAGCACCCTGTCGCATCTCCAGGACAGCCGCGTGCTGTGTTCTCACTCGTGTGCTGGCCTGGCAGTGGGAGCAAGGAGACTGTGATCTCCTGGAAGCAAGGGCCCTGCCTTATTCATCCCTCTGCCTTCAGCACAGCAGCCCTGTAGTGCTTTCCAGGAAGAGGGCACCCACTGATTCTAGCTTTCTGTGGGTTAAAATACACACGTTTCCTTACTCTGAGCCAGACTCCCTGAGAGGCCCTGGGGAAGCAGGGAGAGCAATCAGCATGTCACCTATGGTCCCTATCCCTGGGGAACTTTACATTCTAAGGGGACACACACATCTGCAATTTCAGCACAGGGTGATGACACACGCCATCACAGGGCGACTGGGAGAGGTGATCGTAGGGAGGCAAGGGCAGCAGCCAGGTTTAGAAATGAAGAAAGGCCAAGGGTTGGTCCAGATCTCTACTGTTTAGGAGTCTTACTGTGAGTGGCAAGGATTATACTGACAATACAACCCTCATGAGTGATGCTTAAACATCCAGCTATGACTGTGCTCTGAGATTCCCACTGGCCTGGCATGAGGTCCCCTGAGTGGGGCCCAGGAAGGCACGGTGTCAGAGCAGGTGCACCACTGTGAATGAGCCCCTCACAACTTTTAGCAGGCAAGAAAAACAGAGATTCCTGAGGAGACAGAGGCTCAGAGAGTTGGGAGGCCTTATGCACATTCCCAGTCAGGGATAAAGTATGGGAAACAGGTAACCCAATCACCTGGCCCGTCCCAAGACCATTCTCTAGGTACAAGGCCCTTCTCTTGATGTACAAGGCCCTTCGGCTAGACAGGGTAAGGCTTAGCCTTGACCAAGTCTCCTCTTCTCTCACCAACACCACGTTTAGGGTCTGACCAAGTCACCCTAAAGGTCACACCGGGAATGGTGGAAGTCTTCCAAGAATCTGAGTTCAACTGAATTGTCAGCGTCCACCAAAGCAGCACATGAGCACTGAGTCAGGGACCCAGACTCCACCAGTCACCTGACATGTGACCTGGGGCAAGCCTCTTCCCCTCTCAAACCCTAAATGTCCTCATCAATCAAGTGAGCAAGGTGGACAATATTGAAGATCTCCCGCCTCAATGTTCTATGAACCCAAACTTTCCATGGTTCCGGAGAAGAGGACTCACAGGCTCTGCTGAGTGAAAACTCACAGGTTGGAAGGAGACAGAAATGATTTTCCTTTTACTGAAGGGGGCCTGGGGCTGGGTGACTCCTCAGACACGAGGCAAGAAAAAGGATTGAGAGCTCCCTGGCTTTGGTCACCTAGCTGGAGACATTTAACAAGCGAGCAGTGTGCGCTCTGCTTGTGCAGTAAGAACACGATGCTACTCACTATGCAGCAGGCCACCAGGGCTCCTTGAGCAAATCCCGCGAGCACATCACTGGGATGGTGCTTGTGGTCGGACACACGCGACAGTCCTGTGTAAAAGGCCATCATGATCAGGGTGAACTGCAGGAGGGGCCGGAGCAGGCGGGCCCCGCGCCACGTGAAGCGGGCCTGCAGGTAAAGCTGCACAGAGGAGAGAAAACGAATAGACACTCAGTGCATTAGAACAGCCACCACGTCAACACACGCTGCGTTTCTGCCAAATGGAACCATCTGGACCTTAGGAAGCACCTTGTACAAAGAGCATTCAGCTTCAATATGACCTCAAGCCAGTTATTTAAGCCTTGAGCCTTAGTTCCCATACTGAATAAGTAAATAAATAAGGAGAAGAAAAATGGAGAGAGCAAGGAATGCCTTAGAATACACAGCCTGGGGGTGCCTGGCTGGCTCAACTGGTTAAATGTCTAACTTCGGTTCAGGTCATGATCTCAGGGTTCGTGAGTGCCAGCCCTGCATTGGGCTCTGTGCTGGTGGTGTGGAGCCTGCTTGGGATTCTCTCTCTCCCCCACTCTGAACGCCCCTGCCCCACTTATGCGCACACATGCTCTGTCTCTCTCAAAATAAATAAACTTAAAAAAAAAAAAGAATATATATCATGGCACACACTAGGCACTTCCCAAGTTTACTAATTTCCTTTCATCTTCTTGATTGAAACTAATTAAAGAATAGTAACCAGGATAGGAAAGCTCTCTTTTCTGCAAAACCATGACAACTCATTTCACGCATTTGTGTGTCATCCCGGAGGTACGGCTGTATAGTCCCTACACCACTTGCCTCTTAGGATCGTGTTGGAGATGAAACGCAGGGTCGATAGGAGAGGTTATCGCGACAGTCACAAGGGGATGCTTCTACTTCAAAGAAAGCAACTCTACCAAAGAACAAGTGTCTAAGTCTAACTATGGACTTCTGAGTTCGAATATAAAGGAAACACATAAACCGACCAGACAATGGCAGGGAGCTTTCACACAGGGGCTGACAGATACTGGACTGGGTGGAGTAGAAGAGTAACCTGAAGAAAAATGGAAGAAAAAAAAAACCCACCTCTGGCCGAGGCAAAGAAATGACGTCAACGGAGCATTGTCCCTCAGAGTTATCTGGCTGCAGTTTCCGTTCTAACCTCTGGGCACAACCTACTTCCCAGGTTCCTGTGGGAACTTGGGAAATGAGGGGGAAAAGGCAAGTGGACAAGGGGAACTTCCGAAGACAAATCAAAGGCAAGCACAGGGGGAGACCAGGAGAAAGGGGAGGAGAGCAGAGGGGAGGGGCTGATGGCCCAAAGACAGACTCTGCCCTGCCTGAGACAAAGGGACACCTTCCTCCTGGTGGTCAGGAAGGAGCAAGCCAGTGGCTGGTCCTGAGGAGAAAGAAGAGTGGAAGATTCCGGAGCCAGCCCGACAGGGTGGGAAAGTTGGCCGGCACTGAATTCTCAACTAACCTGAAAGACAATTTCAAAACCCAGGCGTAGAAAACAGCAGACAACTTTACAATCATCATGAAATGCTACAAATGCATTATTGGGCAATCTAAGAATAACAAATGAAAAATAATAAAGAATGCACTGATGTGGGCTGTTGAACAAGTGATAAAGATGAACAGTTTCTCATATGTAAAAAATAACCAGTTGAAAATCTAAAAGAAGAGGTAATGGGGTTAAGCGTCTGACTCTTGACATCGGCTCAGTTCATGATCTCACGGTTTGTGGATTCAAGCCCTGTGTTGGGCTCTGTGCTGACAATGTGGAGCCTGCTAGGGAGTCTCTTTCCCTCTCTCTCTGCCCCTTCCCTGCTCACACTCTCGCTCTCTCAAAATAAATACACATTAAAAAAAAGAGAGAGAGAAATCTCACTGAGCCTTAAGTTTTCTCCCCAGTAAAATAAATGTAACAGCCACTATCTCACAGGCTGTAGTACAGATTGTTGCTTAGAGCAGGTGCCTGGCACCATGTTCTGCTCAATACACAGATGATTTTATTCTCTAACCACAGTTCTTAATTCGGCCCTGAGATTTTCTCATTTTCCTCAATTGAAAAGTCTGCAGATCCTCAGAAAATGCTTGTTTAGAATCCTCCAACTCTTCCCCCACCCCGTGCAGAGTTTAGGTCATGGGCCTTGGAAATGAGGGTGGGGCAGAGGAAGGGTGGGTTTCCCAACCGGACACGGCACACATCTCCCCTTCCACTGACTCAGATACTGGAGCTTAAGAAAAGAACAAAATAAATACAGGAGAGGAACTTGAAGGGAGAGGAAGAGACCAGTCATCAGAAGAGCCTCAGGAAGGGAGTGCTTATGAATGAAAAAGGAGTAGGGGCCGCAGGAAAAGAGTCCCTTTGGGAAGCAGTCAGACGTGCAGTCAGACGTGGACTGGCCGGCTGCACACTGAAGCTTGCTCCTCTGTACCCGTCAGTAACTAATGCATTCATCCACGAATGGCTCAAGGTCTCAGGGACTGATCCCGGTATCTGCAGCTGGGGCCTCAGGGGGAAAGCACACCAGCAGCGGCAACTTGAATTCTGGGGTGAAGCGGCCCCACCTCCGTTCCTGGCTCTGCCATCTCCTAAGTGGGTGGTCCCCCAACTTCTCACCTGTGAAACAGGACCTAACACTATCTCCCTCCCAGGGCTGCCAGGACCAACTGAGGCACGCAGCACCGTGCCTGGCGTGAGACGGGGGAACTCAAGCCACTCTTCAGAAACCTGTGTCAACTCTTTGCCTTGATTAATGCAATTTACTCAATGACGATGGCTGATTTCACCTAAACAGGTAGATTACTAAAGCAAATGATTGCACAACAACCTTCCACCTTGTGGCTAATTCTGTTTTGCGAAGCTGGTTACAACAGGTTTTGAGGTTGACCGAAGGACCAGGTAAGTCTCTCCATGCCCCAGCAATCCTGTCGCTAAAGGGACTGGTTTCTGCTGGTTCTCAGCCCAGTTCTCGTGAGGCACTCCATACCAGAGGCTTGGGCCTCACCACGACCACAGAGAACTTTCTGGAGCACCCTGCTCTCTTGGAAACCTGAGCCTGGGAACAGTCCGTGGGGCAAGAGGCTGCATGCATTCCCATTCCACAGGAGGAAGTGGCACTTCTGACCACAACGCTCTATGGCCCCTGTCCTAGACCAAATAGCAAAGAGACTTGCCCAGAACCAGAATTTCTGCAAGGGCTTCAGGAAAGTCCTAGGCATCCTGAAAGTGTGGTTAGCAAAGACATGAGACTTGGGCAAAACCATAAAGGCTGAATCACCTTGAACTCTCCTTGTGGTCAGCAGCCCTGAGGTCCTGACTTACCTATCTCCACTTCCCCATTGGTGTGAAGTCCCCTGGGCTGGGAGAATCCACTTCTTTTTTTTTAATGTTTTATTTATTTTTGAGAGAGAGAGAGAGACAGCACGAGCAGGAGAGAGTCAGAGAGAGAGGGAGACACAGAATCTGAAGACAGGCTCCAGGCTCTGAACTGGCTATCAGCACAGAGCCCGATGTGGGGCTCGAACCCACGAACCGTGAGGTCATGACCTGAGCCGAAGTCGGACGCTTAACCGACAGACACCCCAGACACCCCTGGGAGAATCCACTTCTAAGCATCAGTGTGAGACTGCAGAAAAGTGTCTGATTTGCCATCAGAGCAAAACTATACTTGAATCTGTTCTCTGCTCCATGCCAGCTGTGGGACCCTGAGCCAGTCACTCGGCTGCTCTGAAATTTCTTCTTTCTCTTATATAACAAGGCCATTTGTTCATTTAAAAACCCCAACACATATCATTTGCATCTATTCTGTTCAAAATTGTGAAAGACACAAACGTGAATAAGATGAGTTCCTCCCTGCAAAAAGAATATGTTAACATTAAAAATTAAATCTCACTCTTTTACTAAGATTTCCCTCCCCAGTAGCTTAAATAATACTGCTGCTTGTAGACAGGGAGCTTATGACAGAAAGGATCATGTCTGCCTGCGAACCCCCATCCCCAAAATGATGTATGTGGAAGTCCCTGGCACACCCAACTCACTCCATAAATGGAGTTCTCTTCTCCTTCCTGGTCCTAGCTCCCAAACTGGGGTCCTGTGGAATCCCAACAAAACCTCTTTAGAGAGGTCTGGCTGAACTCAAGCTGGCTTCTCTGGTCTGAACCAGCAGAGTCAGATGTGGGGTGAGTCACACTCCTTCTTGCTAAGTCATTTGTGTTTCATTACATGATTTGCATACTGGTGAAACAGGTCTGTACTGTCCTCTCACTTCATTTCCATTGCTCTTGGGACTGCTCTGCTCAGAGCGAAAAGGAGGCTTTTGTCCCTCCTTATGTCCCTGCATGCTCTCTTCCTGAAGTCTGTCCAGATCACTGACACCCACAGGGAGAAACTTTGTCCCTCCTCTCATCTCCTCCATGGCTCCCGCCTGGCTCTAATTCATGTGCCTGGTGACTTGCCTACGTGGTACACTACTGGCAGTTCTCTCTGGAAACTTATTCAACTACTTTCAGGACAAAATAAGGATTTTTAGTCAACTTTCCTCCTCCTTCAGAAAGGGATCACCTCTTGCTTTCTGTCACTATCAGGGAGAAAAATAAAGTCCCTGTTTGTTGAGCACCATTTCAGATACCATGTCAGGGGCTTTGAATGGCCTTACCTGCAACTATCACAATCTTCCTGTTGGGTGGACCTCACCATTGTGACCATTTTTCAGATGAAGAGATCAAGGCCAAAAGGCCCTGTCACTTACTCAAGGTAACAAAGAGCCATGATTTACACTGAGTAAGATGTATCTTTTTCCAAGTCCGAGCTCTAACCACAGAGCCTGGCTTCCTTTGAGGGAATTACTGCTCTGCAACAAGGTAATGGTTTTTTGTACTGAATTTGTCTTAGGAGATAAGCAATTTGAGGGGACTACCCATCTGTCATGGACTCAAGAACAACGTACAGGGGACATCTGAAAATTTATGCTCCTCAAATTCGACGGTCACATACTTTTATAAGGCCCGTGTCAAAACACAAGTATATAGCTTTTGTAAGAGTCAGGGTATCAGAATCTCTGACCTGATTGTAAGCTAAGGAGACCCTGTGAACTGAAGTCGGTGCACCTCAGAGCAGAGTTAACAGCCCTTCCCTTGAGGGTCCATGCTTCAGTCCACCC